GGTGATGAAGAAGGAACCGAAAGAGCATGAGGAAGATAAGCCGTAGATTGAGGTTCATGAAATCGTACGGGTGATAGGAAGAGTTTGGGTGGGCGGGAAGTTTTCTTTTGGAATTGTAGTGCTATTAAGGAGGGGATTTATGTAGGAGATTACATATCTTTTTTCTTTTTTCACACCATTTTCTTTTTTAGTTTTCTATCGCATTTTAATATACTTTGGTTTGTAGTCAATGCCTTTAGTCGAACACTTATATTCATACCAACTCATATCGATTATTATTTTTTCGATGTATATAGTATATGCGCTGGGAGTATGTTTGGTATTTTTAGGGGAAATAGTTTATTTGCAATAAAATCTGTTAGGGAGTATGTGTTATTATAAAAATGATTTTGTTTCTCTAAGATTGAAAATCCTCATTTGTCTAATTATAAGATACCAAATTGAGAGGTAATAGTAAAGTTTTTTAACTATTTCCTCACTCATTAAAAACAGAATTAAATAACAGATGAAATATATGGTTTGGATTAAATGGATATATGTATTATTTTCATTTCATACTGTTTTTGAGTGGGGATGGGCTAAATATTTATCTACCCCTTTCAAACATCATATATTTTCCACATTTTCTTATTAATATGGTTACCCCAAGTTCCTTCTCTTCATTCCTCTCTTCAGACCTTCCATTCTTTTTTTTTTCTTATTCTTTGTTGGCCTTCCTCCATTTAACCATGTAGTTGTGTATTAATGTACAATCTTGCAAGGCACCAATATCCATTCAAGGGATATGAAAATGCGGTAAATTGCAAGCATATGAGAAGAACCGGAAACGTGTGTGTGTGTGTGTCAGTGTGTTATATCACAGTTTGACATTGAGACTGGATTTGGCATTAAAGCTCATAAGTATATAACTTTTTAGTCTCAAAACCTGTAACTCATGATTCTGCGCAGCTCCAAATTTTGAATTATTTGTGTTGGCTTTTTAAACTGCATGTTTATTTTAGTCTCTTTTACAATATTAAGTACATATATAACCTTTTGTTTTGTTAAATGCTTAAAATAGACTAAAATCAAGGTTTGTGGATTAAAATGATGAATAATGTATCGTGATGTTATCGCAGATGCTCACCTGCTAAAACAATGAAGCTATTGAGATTTCCACACTCATCATTTACACTCCCTTGAAGCTGACAAGGATAGCGAAATAACACTTTTACCTTTTCATCAAAAAGAAAGATGAAATACCTCAAAATAGTGAAATTCTGAAACTTCTACATTTTTGTTTAGAATATTTTCGTAGAACTTTTATTTCTTTTATACTTTGTGATTTTACTTTCTACTATACTTGATAATAAGAATTCAAACAAGAAGGCTGTAAATAATTTATTATATGTGGTGGTGATGATGACAATGATACATCAATTAAGAAGGTTCTGAACAGGTTGTAACATTATTATAACAATTTATATTACTTAACTATTTAGGTTGCTAAAAAATTCTCTGTGAACCTTATGCTTTGCTATATCATATAGGGATGTCAAAAAAAACCGACCCGCAGTGACCCGCCCTGGCCCGAGACATTTGGGGCGGGTCCGGCCCGGCCCATCTTCCAAATGGGGCAAGTCCGTCCCGCCCCGCCTATACAATGGGGCGGGTCCGGGTATTAGTATTGATCCGTGCCGTCCTGACCCGCCCGGACTCGACCCGCTCAATACATAAACATTCATATTTTTTCTTAAATTATACTACAAATATACTTCAACATACATATGTCTATATACAGTAAATCATAAATTCTTTGATCTTATAATATATTAATACATATATTAGAATGAGATGAACGACGGATTATCAATGTCTTCTTTATATATAGTATTTTAATACATATGTTCAATTATTAGTATAATTTAATAGATTAACTATTCAAATCTGGGTAAGTTTTCCTTAATTTTTGAAATTTTTAGGGTATGATGAATTTGATTTAATATATTAATTTTTAATTATTATTTAGAGATAAACTTTAAGTAGATTCAATTGGTAACAACTTGCCACAAATAAAAATACATACTAGTTAATTAAGTTACGGTGGGGCGGGGCGGACCCGCCCCGCATGGGGCGGGTCATTGGTCAAAAAGTTTGGACCCGTGCAGGTCACGGGGCGGGTCTGGGTGTTGCAGTACCCGCCCCGCCCTGACCCATTGCCATGCCTAATATCATATTTCTATTATATATGGTACCTCTCTCTGTTCCCCTATAATTGATCCATTTTTTCATTTTTGAATGTCTCCATATTATTGTCACATAACATATTTGGTAATTTGTGTGAGTCTAATTTATTTTCACTTTATCAACTCATTATCAACCACATAATTTTACTTTTTTTAAAAATCATATCGCCTTCTTCTGTCTCAATACTAGGAGAAGGGAGGTAGTATTCTTTAGGCAAAAAAGAACGGTGTTGCTTCTATATGGTCCGAACTTAATTAGACAGGAACTGTTAGACACTTTCCTTGATTTTTTTTTTTAAGAAATACATGTTGTTCACACATAAATCAAACATTTTAAAATTATTAGAGGCTGAGTTTACGTTTTCTTTATGAAATTACTTATTTGCTTTTTTTATATAAACCAGGTTTTAGCATAACTATAATTTATTTTCCAATAACATTTATGTCTAATGAATTACATACTTTTATTTAAATAAGACTTTTAACATAGTTTTTATTTTCTTTTTTATTACAAAGACACTTATTTTTACCTTCACAAAACAACTATCATCACAAAATGTTTATTTGTAATTGATGCATATGAATAGGATTCATGGAGGATCTATTAGAAAGTGTTGGTGTTTTCTCAAGAATAAGTGTTCTGTGTGAATTGACCTACATAGTATAAGGTGATGGTAATAAAATAACATGAAACTCTTTAGATGTTGTGACTAGGAGACTATATATATACTAAACTCTTTACTTAGATTTAATTTAACCTCAGCCCGTAACAAACTTGACTAAAGAAATTAAATCATACCACAAAAATATTAAATACTACATAATATAGATGAATAAAGTATATATAATATAATATCTGCTCGCAAGAAAAAAAGTACACATAATATCAATTTAGAACACGTAACATATATGTCCTAATAGAAACTCTAAAATCAAATTGTGTCCTAAATATCAAACAAGCTCAATCAAATCCAAATTTTACCACAAAACTTTAATATAAATGCTAAACGATCAATAAATTTGAACTCCATCCCAACTAAGGGTCAGCACCGGACCCAAAATCACCAAATATATTGGATCGAAGATCGAACCTAAATAGTTCTGATCCACGAACGGACCAATATTTGATGTATTGACAATTGTATATTTTCCAACCAATAATGTATATTTTTTATGTGGTGACTCAAGGATCTTAAGAGTTAAGAGGAACAAATTCATTTGACTTAAATTTTCTAATGCACGACATGATCAATAATTCAATATGCTTTGGAATTATTTATAAAAATATGTACTTCATCTAAGTATTTCCCAAAGTGTCCTTGATCGAATTATATGAACTAAAAAATATGCACCTCATCAATTAGAAATAAATAAATAAAATAAAAAAGCAAAAGAATAGAAAAAATATGAACTAATATTGTGATAATTATTCATTATTTTGAAGGTTTACAATTATGAATAACATTGCATTCAACGGGTGAGGTATTAGTAGATATTAGACTCATTAAATGTCAACAATGACTTTGTATGATAAATTGATAACCATAGACTACACAATTATTTTATTTTGAAGCAATAAATCACAACATTGTAAATAACACTGACCAAACTATGCGAAAACAATAAACAAGAGTTAAGCGAAATCATTGTGTCTATTGATGTTTTCCTATGATGTCCAGTTTTTACGCATAGATAAATGTATGTTACAGTTTCAAGAGTGATAAGTCCGTCTAACATGAAATTTGTAATATGCGACGACGAGGGAAATAAAAAAACGGTAAAAAATGTAGTCTATGAGGAAATCTGAAATAATTTGTCGATGGCATGCTCATTAAACTTCTAATATGTTTTATCATTTATTTACCAAAGAAGACCATAAAATTACACTCCAATTGAAAATATTTTTATCCCTACTCACTATAACACCATGAGACGTTAGACTCTCATTCACTTTTCAATGCATATAGTTTCTATTGCTACCTTCATCCCCCTATGTTTGGGAAATGAGGGTGTGATGCAATTTATTAGGGAAGTGAAATTGTATGATTGATATTAAATGGATAAGATGCAAATAAAGTAAGAATGGATTGTAACCATAGAAATATATCAAAAATGATAGATGAGAAACTTAATGAGATAGACAAAAGGTAAAACGCGACAAAGTTAGGGGGACGAATTGAAAATGAGTACTGATTAGGTATGTAATGATCATTAATAAGAGGAAACGACAATTGTTCAAATAAGTTGACATCTTCCTCTGTTGTCCTGTTCTTACACATGAACATGTGTACTTGGAGGTTTTGAGAGTAACAGCTCAACCGGAGGCTGAAGTTTATGATGTGTGATGAAGATGTATGGACTTGATGACCACCTATGGTTGCCTTGTGTTGGATACAAGAAATGTTATAATAATTTATACGTAATTTTCTTGACAGTTTTATGGACTTACATGTAGCTGCTTCATTACATGTAGCTGCTTCATTACATGTAGATGTGTACTATTTATTTTTTAGTTTGCTATTACAAAGACATCTTATTTAAAAGGTTTATTTAATGTTTTCTATTAGTTGGATCCCTTTTTAAATTTTTGTAAAATTGGATCTAAACTATTATGTATGTACTTTGTAACTCACGGATGAAGTAAATAGTTGCCATTAAAATTAGAACGAACTTCAAAAATAGCTGGGTGTACTTTCAGAATATTTTTGAAAAAATTTCGTAAGTGTAAAATGAGATTGACAATAATAGTTGAATGAAAAAATTCGATAACAGCTGGAAGTAACGAGTATAAGAAACATCCTGCACTGGCGATACTTCCCCCTCGCATTTTGGTTCTTTCCCTTCTCTCTCCTCATCACACCCTGCTCCTCCCTCTCACCTCCACGTCACGTATGGACCCCCCGCCTTCTTCCGGCGGCACCGCTCCGGCGGCCACTCAGCCGCTGACTTCAGTATACTCCAACTACGCTGACCCGGCCTTCTCCCCGCGGTCCCGCAGTGCCGACTCCTGGGATGAACCGGCGGCCTACTCTGCCGGTCAGGGCGGAGGGAAGTTACGGGTGATGTGCAGCTATGGCGGGAACATAGTCCCCCGGCCCCACGATAAGTCTCTCTGCTACGTCGGTGGCGATACCCGCATCATCGTCGCCGATCGCAATACCTCCCTTTCCGAGCTTTCGCTTCGCCTCTCCAAGACGCTCCTGGACGGTCGCTCCTTCTCGCTGAAGTACCAGCTTCCCAACGAGGACCTCGACTCCCTAATTTCCGTCACCACAGACGAGGACTTCGAAAACATGATCGACGAGTACGACCGCATCAGCGCCAATTCAACCCCCGCCAGAGCTTCTCGGCTCCGGTTATTCCTCTTTCCTTCAAAGCCTGAGGCGCCGTCGTCGATCGGGTCGCCTATTGAGAGCTCAACGAAATCCGACGACTGTGTTCTCGACGCGCGTAATGGGGCAAACTGTAGTTCATCAAATGCGTTCTCCGGCTCCTCAATGGTGAATTGCCTTCTAGGACTTGGCTACAATGTAGGAAACCGGAACTTTAAAGACGCGGAAGGTCAATTGGATGGTTCCCTTAGTGGTAAACATGGTAGGGTAAACAGTGCGAAATTTACTTCTCAAGATGTCCACTCGGTGCCCCCAGATTCGCCTATGGTGGAAATAACTTCATCTTCTTTCGGCTCTTCATCATCTTCGTCGCCTTCGTCCATGGGGAATCTACCGCCTCAAAGTCAGGTTCACGTGGATGAGAATCACAAGTTAGGGATTGAGGAGCAGCTCTCGCAGATGACTCTCCTGGCTGGGGCCAGGGTGGAGCAGAAGCAAAAGCAACAGCGGGAGGAGGGCGGGGGTTTCAGGGCACTGTCTTCGCCCCCGGCTCCACAGTCACCTCATATTGTTATGGTAGGGACTGAAGATTTCAGCTTGCAGGCGGTAATTGTTGGCGGGGAGTATCCCAATAGGGGTTTCTGTGATGGGGAGAGATCAGATCAAGTTGTGTACAGAAAGCCTCCACAAGCACAGCAGCCTGTGCAAATGATGCAGCCCAATATACCTGCTCCGCCTGATTCAATTTCAAGGTATATAGCGTTCACATCTGAACATCTTCATATTGCAAGTAGAGTAAAACATTGGTCATGTGTACAAATATTTAGGATCATCCTAATTTCATTCTTTCTTAAAAGAAGAACAGAAGTAGTCAATAATTCTTGTGTTGGGTTGAATGAGTTCAATTTTAGGAAAAACTATGTGTTAAGCCATCTCACTTTTATCAATCATATCTGCCAAATAAAAAGCATAATATTTTGGGATAGTCAATCTATATGATTGGCCTTCTGTGATAGAACTACATTTTGGGGGTATATTAAGCTATCCCATACAAATACTAAAATGTATACTCGCATAGACCCTCTGAGCTACTATTTCTATAATGTTTGATCACTTAGAATGGAATTTTGAAACTCTTGTTACTATGATGATTCTATATATTATTTATGAAGTTGTTATGTTTTAGTCCTAATTCTAAAATTTACTCACATGTGTTTGATATAAAATGACCTAACTTGGGAATGCGGTGTGGGGTGATGGTATTTTTTCTTTCTTTACCAATGCAGCGAGGGTAGTATCACAAACCCATTGCTTGGACAACAAAAGCATTACATTTATCACGAGCCTGTAAACCAAATTCAACCGGTGAGTAGAGCTTCATCCAATCCAGCTGACCTTAAGGTCGTTAGCGATCAGAGCACTAGGCCTCCGGCTCAACAACATGCAGTTGAGGATTCCGTATATATTTTGCCGAACCACTGTGATCATCAGCACCCCCAAATGTATCATCATCAACATCAACAACAACCACACGCTCATTCAGGACAGTTTATCCCTGCTGGGGCTGTGCCTGTGACGTCATATTACCACCACCCTTTGTATCATTCCCAAAACCACCCTGCATTTGAACATCATCAGCATCAGTATCCAGTCTACTTTATGCAGGCTAGACCAACCCAGCCTTACAATTTGCATTCTGTTCAGCAAGCAAGTTATAGTGAACCAGCAGTTCCTACATCAAACCCTATCCGCCCTCAAACACCATCCTCGCCATCTTTTGTCCACACACCTGCTGTTTCGACAACTTTTGCTGCCTCTAATCCTGAAATAGCTGCCAGAACGGCTCCACAGTGGGTTCAAATGGCTTCTGGCCAACATCCTCAACAGTACTTTGGTTTCTCTCATATGCATCACCCACCTCAGGCTTCAGCTGCTACTACTGCCACCTATGCTTATGAATTTACCGATCATCCTACAAATGCACAACAAATGTACTACACTCAGCCCCTTTCTTCCCATATGGTATCAGTACGTGCGGCAGTGTTACCAGAGGCTTCTTATCAGATCCCCGTAGAAAATTTCAAACAGCAGAGTTAATGGTAAACTTCACTGCCGTGAAGGTGAGCTGCCATCTGGACATGAAGAATAATTTTTGAAGTCATGGAGTTTGGTTGAATTCCTGATGAAGAATGTTTTTGCTGCAATTACTATTTTGGTTGTGATATGTATCATAGATATTAAGAAACTTGATTTTTCTTTTCCTTTTCCTTTTCTATGTTATATGGTATTGGGGTGTAAGTAATAATTTTCCAAATTATATACTGCAAGTGTACAAGTCCATCATAGTCATGATGTCTGCCCTGTCTTAGATATCTCTTACAGAACAATTGTAATATAACCGCATAGGGCTTTTATGTATATTCGAGTAAATAGTAAATAATGGTTTGTAATTTTTTTTTAATCTGTCTGAATCAGAAACTGTTCTTCAGGTATTAAAGAATATAGTAGCATAGTGGAGGTGGTGTAAGAGTTATGATCTTTACTTTTTTCCTTGACAATGGCACATGCCTGGAGCCCACACTATGGGATAGCCTTCCGTGACCAATGCTTGAATTCATTGATGAGGACTACTAAATTCATTGTTAATTGCGGTAATGCTTCCCCAGATCCTCTGTTTCTTTAGTCCAAAAGGAAACATCAAACCACAATTGTCAATTCTGTGTGGTGCCAAGGTACGTGTCAATTGTCATCTCTTTCTTGTAATGCTGTGTGAAATGTGATGCTCAACACTTGCTCCATTTGGGCCCTCTCAACGTTTTCTTTTCTTACCTTATTCGTCTTTCAAGCTGTTGCTTTGTTCATCCATTCGTTCCCACCACTAAACAAACTCTGTATGCAGTTATGTGGCAGTGGACAGCCCAGAGAGAGTTCAATAATGGATCCCATGTTAGGAGATTCTTGCTTGCTCTAGTGGGAAGATCGGATACAACTTTCATACCAAGTGTATGATGTTCAAAAAAGGAAAATTGGGTTTTTGCACCTCATATCTATATGAAAGTTAAACATATCTAATTGTTCACACAAACAAATATTTCCTATAAGCAGTCACACATTGGGGTGGGCTCGACCCCGGTCCAGCCCCTAATCCAGTCTCAATCATTGTTTAGAGAAGTCCGGGTCTGGGCCGGTTTCAGGTACCCAGGCGGTCCATTCCCGGTTCGAAATCCAGTTTCTTTAAAAAAAAAAATAATTTTTGTGTTTTCAAGGTGAAAAGAAAATTTTATAATCGGGACCTGAACAGCCAGGTTCGGTCCCCAAATATGTCAACCGGGACCGGGTATCCCTCTTGGGTGGATAGGGTCGGTCTCAGTCCCGAAACAGGAAAAAACGGATCTGGTTCAATCTCAAACAGTGTCGGACTCAGTTTCAGATTGGGCCAGACCACCGGATCAGGTCCACCCCTAGTCTCAAATATGAACAATTTGTGTCTGGGTAAAGAAAATTTACTTGAACGTAAGCAAAAACATTGGTGTGCATACCCTTCCGTGTAATTTGCATAAACATGTTGTTATGTGCACAAAAACCACTGAGTAATAATTAATCTAAAAGACATTAGTTACCCGAGACAAACATTAGTAGTATGTGACGAGACATTTATTGTCGATTTAAGTGTAAGTCAATGTGTATGTCAAACATTGTATTAGCTGTTTTTCTCTTCTCTCAACATAACTTTAGACCATACAAATTTCACTTTTTTAATCCTCGTGACAAGTCAAAACATGCTTTAATAAGTAGGGTTACTTTAATACAACGATTGTATTTGTTAATATTTCTCTTTTTTTTGTAACAGTTAACATTTCTAATAATAGTACTTTTTTGTTGTACTTTCTCTCTTTCTTGTAATATCTGTTATGTTAAATGTCAACATTCTTGATTGGTATGGGTTCTGAACCTGTGACCTCTTCCTTGGGAGTGACATGCACGGGTAGAAGACTAGTTTTTACAAATACCAGTATTATTAGGTTAAAGTAATCACTCATTCTTATCATGCATTAAATAGATTAATCTAGTTTTTACAAATACCAGTATTATTAAGTTGTACAAATCAACACATTGCCTACAAAACCATCCAGATTTTTCAAAGTCTATGAGTGTGCATACAATTTATGTCGTTTAATAATTGTACACTCAAAAATACATGCACATTATAAGTAGACACTTTCATTTACACATTATATCTAAAGATGAATGCTCCTGCTCCGGCAATAAGGATGTTTTTACTTGAACTGTAATTCGTCTCAGACCAGATCTGACCAGACCAGATCAGACCAGTTCAGACCAGACCAGACTTGGATAGTTATAAAAATACAAAGAAATCAAACCAGACCAGACATGCAAATTACGGTCTAAGTAAAAACATCCTAATTCCTAAGTGAGCGCGAGCCCCGATGCCTTCTCCTATTAAGGTTCTACTCAAAGCTATGATAGCTCCTATCACGTAAAGAATGAAATTTTAACTCTTTTGTCCATAGAAAATAATTAATTAAATAAACATAAAACTAATATGTTATGACAAATTGGCATTCACCTATACTAAATTTTCAAGTAGTGCATATATAAACTTTCTGACAAAAAAAAAAGATGGACTCTAGAATCTTTCACAGTTGAAGATAGTAAAACTCAAACCCACAATTACGTTAAGAATAGATTGTAGAGAGGAGGTGGAATTAATTTAATACTACCGACAATTCTTTATTATGCACACCATTATAATGCATGGTATTTCCTTTTCACAGATCTTTTCAATCTATGTTATTTTTTTATTTTTTTCTAATCATCGGGTTTAATCATTAGAAATTTCCATTGAAATAGGTATAGCTATGAAATATCTTGAAACGGGAGATTTAAAATTTGGGTAACATTTAAAAAGTGTACAAATTTGTTTTTAACTTGAAATTTAAAACAATGGGTTAGCGACTTATACTTCAAAAGTTCAAAACAAAGAATTTGTGAGAGTATGGTGTAGCAAATTGACCAAAAGAAGGAATACAAAATTTGGGCAAATAAAACCATGCGAGGTCTAATTAAAAAAAGACATTTTTTTGCTTTTTTGCTTTAAAGATCTAATAATAGTGCACTTAATTCAAAGCCTCTTTGCTTAAAGTGAAGCTGTTGAAAACTAAAAACAAAGGAGTTTAAAACTAAAAACTAAAAGAAAGGAGAAAAGTGTTTTAACTGTTTTTCATTTTTTTCTACAGAGTATTTCACAAAAAGTATTTTTCACCCAACACTTTAACTAACATTTACATTGTCAAAATCATTTTTCTTTTCAAACACTTTCAATTTTTACCATTAATCGTTTTTCATATATTTTCTCAAATAAATCACTTCTCAAAAATAGAAATAAATATAAAAAACTCCATAATACCATGGACCAAGAGAAAAAAGAGTCATATTCTCACTTCTTGTCATGGCATTAGACTTGAATGATAACAAAGGGAGAGAGAAGAAGAATAATAGCAACACTGCATTTGCTCATATTTTAGCCTTCACTTTCTTTTATAATCTTTAGCCCAAAATTGTGAAGAACTTGTCGAGATCAGATCTTGGCATTCCACGAGTACCAAAATTTCTTCTTTAATCTTTGTTTAATGAAGAAAAATTATATTCGTAGCAGAAATGGTTCACGAGTACGAGTACTTTAATGAAATGGTTCATGCTTTATGAAAGGTGCCTTTGAAAAGAGTGTAAAGTTACTCCGTTAAGTCTCCGTATATAACTTGTGATCATATGATGATAATGGAATGAATTGAAGAAATAATCTTCATGACAAAGGATCTTAGCAATGTTCGAGTAACTCGAGAGCTAATTTACTTTATATAAATAATACTTATCTAATTGTTAATTATGTTATGTCATTTGTGCCATGTCGTCAGAGAGGAGACACAAAAACAAGAGAGGTTTTTCCTAGAATCAGATACAGGGATGGCAATCGTAACTGATCCGATGGATATCTGCATCGAACCGTCCCGATCAAAACGTGGAAAATCGCGTTGACCGGGTAACGGATATGGGGCGGGAAATATCGGTTTTGTTTTTTACGGGTAACAGGATGGTTACAGTTTTATACAAGCCCGCCTCATTACCCGCACCGTACCCGCCTCTTTTATTTTTAGTTATATTTTTATTATAATTTTATCTATTATTTGTCCCACAAATACTAAAAGATGATATTATTCTATTCTCATTGTGTATATATGAACAATAGATGTATTAACTATAGTGTATAGTATGGATGAAAGTTCATAATAGATTTTTATAACCTTGTTTGAATTGATTATTATTAGATTCGTTTCATGATTATTTTTATCTAATATTAAGTATTTTCAGATTCAAATTAATTTAGGTTGCCTTCTTTCTCTCTGACGTAGAACGTCTAGACGATGTCATTTTTTGCCTTTTAAAATACTATTTTTTATATTAAAATATCAACGACTCATTTAATAAAATGATTACCCGCGGTTATATCCGTTACCCGTTGGGGCGGTAATGGTTTGAGAAAAAAATACTCGTTGGGTAATGGGGCGGTTACGAAGCAGGGGAAACCCAATGGGGTGAGTAATATTATATGTAAAAGTTCCTTGTTGGTCCCGTTTGTAATGGGAACAGTCTAGAGGGGGGGTGAATAGGTTGTTCAGGATTTTTCAAACTTTTCTCTAAGTCACAACTGACTTATCAGAGATGGTCGAATTCTGGTGACAGAGAAGGTCAAGTTCTGATGGCAGAACTGGACCTGGCAGCGGATTGGTTTCTGTCTGGGTAGCCTCAGAAAACACTAAGGCAAATGCCTTTCTGATAACTCTTGAGGGGGATCTGCTGAACACAGAGTCCAACCTTTTGAGTTAAACAGTCAAGTTCTTAAGTGCAGAAATAAATGAGTAATGTAAATGACACCGGGGATTTTTATAGTGATTCAAGGAACAACTTGTTCCTCTAGTCCACTGTTCCACTAAGCTTGCAAAAACAACAATTTACAACGCCTTAGTCCCTAGAACTTAAGAAGCTCTCCGTGTCTTCTTCAAGCCTAGTTGCCACTCGGGATGCAGTCCTGCTTCCTGATGGCTGGTCTCGTTTCACTGAGTCTCTTGGAAGTATCACCACTTCACTTACTCCAGTTAGTTTGAGACGCTCCTTCTTTTTCAAGAAGTGTTTGATTCAAGAACAGTTTTCTCCAACGTGGCTTCTTCACAAAGGATGTGTAGATGATGTTTTCGAAGTGTTTGAAGAACTGAGGAACTTTGCTACTTGTTAGTTGGATGAAGGATAAGAAAGTATATCTTCCAACTTGAGCTTTTCTTGTTGAGGAACTTTGCTACTTGTTAGTTGGATGAAGGATGAAGTATGTCTTTGATCTCAAGAAAGCTTGAAGGTATTTAGTTCAGAGTGAATAATCTGAGCAAGTTTGTGTAGCAAAAGTTGTCCTGGTAGTTCTTCAAAGTGTATCTTATATACTGGGAGTAGTCTTCCCGTTGGAGTGTAGAAGACAGCTTCATTAAATGCTTGTACTGTTGACTTGACCGGTTGGACCTTCGACTTGCTATTTTGAGGGCGCGAAGATACTCGCATGGTCAATCATCAGCTTTAAATATATCTTCGTACGTACAACATTAATTGAGCATTTAATGCGTGTACAGTACCATGTTCCCGTCGAATGGTTCCTAGCCGTTAGAGGATTTCCCGTTAGTTTAACGACCGTTGGTAAGTGCCTTCGAGTTCTGTTAGGTAAGAGCAGGTCTGATGAGGTTTTCTGATCAGAACTCTGATGACTGATTCTGATGCCAGCTATGGTATCCAACTCTGGTAGCTTCTCTGGGAGAGCAACTATGGGAGCAACTCTGGTAGAAGTTCTGATAAGGAAGACCAAGAGGGTTTCTGGCATGTCGACTATGCTAATACTTACAAAGAAAAAATTCTAATACAAAATTTCTATATGGGTACTTTCAAGTTCTAATCAACCAAGCATCATCAAAATCTAATTACATTTATTCCTTACAATTTCCCCCTTTTTGATGATGCCAAAACCCTTTAACTATTTCCAGAGAAATGCCTTTCACCATAAAAGAATAAAGTTAAAAACTTTCATTAAAATCTTGGTGGGCAACTTGGCATAGGAAAATAGTAAGAGTACGGTACAATCAGATAGCAATAAAAGGAAATAATGTAGCAAAGTAAACGAAAAACAGTCACAGAAAGTAAGGAAGAACAGATAATTTAAGATGTCATGCAAAATAGAGGCAGAGATGGTATCTTATTATCAGAAGATTAAGTACAGAAACAGAGATGGAAAATTAGGTTTCTTCTTCATCTACCTGGGGTCCTGCATTCACCTTTGCTCTGATGGAGGCTAAGTCCCTCGGATTCTGATAGTCTGCCCAGTGAGGTGCAAGCTTGCAATCCAAGTAGTTTCTGATTGCTTCTGATATGTTCTTGCCAGATAGGACTCTCATCTGCCACCAAATTTCAGCTTCTTGTATTGATCCACCATGATTAATTTGGACGAGTCCATCACTGTCCATAAACAGATTTTCTTGTTGCAGTGGAGTCATCAGCTTGTTCATCTGAGTAAATTGAGCTCTGTCAGGCCTAGACATCCCACTTTTCATCCACTCATTAAAAGTAAAGTTGGAGGACTTTTTCTTAGAGCTTCTGGGAGGTGGAGGAGGAGGTCTGGTGCCTGCAGTAGCTAGCTTTTTCTTCTTGGCAGCTTCGAAATAAGGGGCAGGATCAACAGTAGGTGAGGGTCCTCTAATAG